CGGTAAATTTGATGCTACAAGGTGATAAAATAAATGAAGTCTAGTGAGCCATAAGGCAGGGGAACCTACATTCAAGATGACAAGGTCGAGTATCCTAGAGACAATGGCCTTCTACAAGGCTTAAGCAGAACCCCAGTCAAAAATATCAAGATAAAAAAATGAATAGCCATTTAACAGATACTATAACGAAACTAGATTTCCCTGCAATGTTCACCTGTGATTCAGAGATTTCCCCTGCAGACATTTTTTCAGTCGCTAGATGCCCTCAGTCTGATGACCGACCCAGGTCATCCCGGACAAGCCCCCAACCTGTGACTGGCAAGTGAAAGAAGTAGCATTGTGATGAGCTTATCTCTCTGTCACAGTGCTCTCTCCTCCTTTCAGCATGCTTCTGATGAATTGATTGGTCATCCAAGACCTGTCCCAGCCTGTGAAAGAAGGAGCAGCACAGCGATGAGCTCATCTCTCCGTCAGTTTGCTCTCTCTTCCTGTCAGCATGCTTCTGATGAATTGATTGGTCATTCCAGATCTTTCCCTATTATTGGCCAATGAAAGCCCATCATAGTAATATCTCTTTAATTGGCCAGCATGCTGAAATTGATTGATTCCAGATCCATCATGAGTAACCATCATAGTAATCAGCTCATCTCTTTAATACTGTGCTCTCTCCTCCTGTCAGCATGCTTCTGATGAATTGATTGGTCATCCAAGACCTGTCCCAGCCTGTGACAGGCTAATGAAAGAAGGAGCAGCACAGCGATGTGCTCATCTCTCCATTAGTTTGCTCTCTCTTCCTGTCAGCATGCTTCTGATGAATTGATTGGTCATCCATGACCTGTCCCAGCCTGTGACAGAGAGATGAGCACATCGCTGTGCTGCTCCTTCTTTCATTAGCCTGTCAGTTTGCTCTCTCTTCCTGTCAGCATGCTTCTGATGCATTGATTGGTCATTCCAGATCTTCCTCAGCCTGTTATTGGCCAATGAAAGGAGACCATCATAGTAATTAGCTCATCTCTTTAATCCTGTGCTCTCTACTTCTGTCAGCATGCTTCTGATGAATTAATTGGTCCCGCCCAAGCATGTGAACAGCCAATGAAAGGAAAAGCAGCACAGCAATGAGCTCATCTTTCCATCACTCTGCTCTCCCCATACCTCAGCATGCTTTTGTCAGTGCATGAACTGATTAGCTCCTTGTAGGGCTTCTTCCTCTCACCCTCCAGCCCTGCTGTACAGGGACTATGAAAGGCAGAAGGTCGAAATCAGGGGCGGACTGACCATTTGGAAATCCGAGGGCCCAGGGTCAGTAGGGGGCCCCATTAGATGCCCCTGGTACCTTTTTCATAGGCTTTTTTGAGTTTGGGGAAGGACACAGGGGCCCCATGATCCCCTATTGCCCGGGGGCCCCATGGAGTTGTCAGTCCGCCCCTGTTCCTGGTTATCTTGTCTAAAATGTTTGCTTTTGTTTTTTTAAATATGCTGTGTGATTCCACATAACAAACTTATAGCGAGGTTTTCCCAAATGTGACTTAAAAAATGGGAATACCCTTTAATTTTTTGGTCAAGTCCATCAGTAGATTTAACACTACCACAGGGACGGACTGACCATTTGGAAACTCGGGCACTGCCCGAGGGCCCAGGGTCAGTAGGGGGCCCCATGAAATGCCCCTGATACCTTTTTCATAGGCTTTTTTGAGTTTGGGGAAGGACACAGGGGCCCCATGATCCCCTATTGCCCGGGGCCCCATGAGTTGTCAGTCCGCCCCTGGTCGAAATCAGGTGCCGACACTGCTGGCAGTTTAACTTAAGTGACTAAAGAGCTGTTTGTACTCGGTGTCGTGGTGCTAAAGCTAAGCTGTAGGCAGATTTGAAAGACAAAGATATACCATTATGCAAAAAAAAAAAGAAAAATGTAAAAAAAAAAAAGGTTCATTGATGAATTATATGCAAAACAATATGCAGAAATTGAATGATGGTCATTCACTGGATACAATAGGTTACAGCATTTTGCTTCCTTGCCCATTAAATAAGCCTCAAAGCCTTCCATCAGATCCACTTGCAGCTGCTTGGACTGGACCGACTGGTGAGAACTGATTTCTGAGTAGTTGCGTTGTTCCTAACCATTGTTCTTTGCATGGTGTTAAACAAGCCCACAGGTGCAAAATTGCCAAAAAAAAAAAAAAAAGGATAAAGGATTGCCTGTAACATTGTACATGGAGATGGCACACACACTCATCTTTAGGTAACCAAGCCCATTGGAGGAAACGGATACAGTATTTAGAATAATTTTTAACATGGATACCAGCAGAGATCATAGGATTTAGCAAACAAGTGTGGATTTGGCGTATTAAATATTCCCCATTTCCCATATCAATCCCAACGAGACGATGTGTTTTAGTTCAGACGCGCTGGACATGGTGAGTCACAGCAGACGGAGCTTAACAGCTGCTGGGAATAAAAAAAAAAATTTTTTTTTTCCTCCATGCACATGTATAATAAATAAATAAATCACATACACACACTTTGCAAGCCTGGAAAAAAAAAAAAAAAAAACCTAAGGGGAAAAGGGAAGCCAAGATTGGCTGCTTAACTGTAACCATTGAGGGCAACAGACAAATCCACTGGTGTCTTAGTTTTTGATATAATATGGTAACGGCAGCAAAACAGCCTCCCCAAAGGAATAATACAAATGTCATTTGCTGAAAGAATACACGACTTACCCATTTGATAAGCTATCGATCCGGCTTGTCTATGGGAATGTATGCTCTTCCATCATTCTATGCAGTTTTGTAAGTCACATGGAATAGCCAGTAAAAAAAAAAAAAAAACAATCTAGTTGCATTAAAGGAATCAGGATTTTCCCACCTTTAGTTCATCCAGTAAGTGAAGAATAAAATGAGAACCGAAAAAGAAAAAAAAAAAAAAGAGAGAGAGAGATGCAAGCAAAAGGACATCCCAATCAGAACAGCTTGGCCAACATTTGTCTGGGTGAGGGTGGTAGATCAATGCCTGGCTAGCAAATTGGAGAATCTATGGCACGGGCTCCTGCAGATGGCATGGCCACCTCCAACAGTGTGTTTAACAGACAGAAAATCCAAGGAATCTCCCATGTACTCGTACGTCCAGCATTGCATCAGATTAACCAAGTCAGCCTTTGCGAGGAAAGGGGGGGGGGGGGGTGTCCCTTAGCACCCAGGTGCCACCCCTGCCCAGTTCAGGGTTAATGGGCTTTCCATTGCTGAAACATCAAATCTTTTTTCTTTTTTTTTTGTGCCTTCTCTCTTTCCCTCTCTTCCATCAGCCTTTGGCTCTGGCTGCATCCTATGCTACTGCATTTCCCCAGCTCTCCACGGTGCTACATAGAGCTTAAAGGATGGAGGGGAGTTGGAGAGAGGAGGGAAGGGTGGAGGGGAAGGGGAGGGGGGGATTGCAATGCCTGAATAGCAAAGTCTATAAGAGGGTTGCAGATCTTGTTCCCAAATGTGAGGCTCCCAGTGAATTCCCTATAGCAGAAGCGGCAGCTGTGTTGCTGGCTTCAGCAGGGACAGAAAGGAGGTGCTAAATCATTTAGGAGTCTGAGAAAAGGGAGGCTCTGCGAGAGGCAGAGGTATGTGCTGTAGTCATTGGAGGGACCACACTCAACCCTCAGCGACACCAACCTCGCTCATCCTCCAGCAGCAAGGCATTGGCATTCAGGGAGTGGATGGGAGAGCAGGTTTCAGCACCAGGGACAGCGTCCCAGCACAGGCTGCATAGAGATTCCTCAGATGGAAGAGGCTATGCCATGGCACCTGGGACACCTACCAGTTGTGTGCAGAGAAGCTGTAGTCACCTGATTTCAGCTTCACACCCTGTGACCTCACACGTCTGGAACTATTAGTAGCCCAGAGGGAATATAATGGATTGTTGCATTTTTGGTTTCTCGCAGTTTTTTTTTTTTTTGCTTCCATGATTGCCCTTAGAGCTGGTTCACAGCACAATTTCAGAGTTACAGATGCATTTTTGCATGCGTATTTTTGTTGCATTGTTACGTGCTTTTGATGCATTTTTATTTGAAAGGACCCCCCCCCCCTCCATCTACACCTCCTCCCTTGGCCAACGGATACACTCTCACGGCTTCAACTACCACCTATATGCCGACGACACGCAAATCTATCTCTCAACCCCCCACCTCACCCCTTCATTCTCCACCTGAATCACCAGCCTACTGAACGACATATCAGATTGGATGTCACTTCCTTAACAACCTTCCACCTACCCTATAGTACAATGACGTGCGCAAGGTGGTTCTCTTGTTCTGATAGGACGTCATTTGACGTCCTACCATTCTCACTGCGCATGCGCGGCTCAGGGAGCGCAGCGATTGCCTGTGCGCTGTGTCCCTCGGACATAGCGGATCACGGAAAGAGCCGAAGATGTTGGCTCGGTCATGTGATCGCCTGTGTTCAATCACAGCTGATCGCATGTAAACACGGAAATGTCGGTTATCGGCATTTCTCTCCTCTCGAGCTGTCACGCTGACAGCTCGAGAGGAGAGGAGAGCCGGTAATCGGCTTTCCGCAGAGGGGACATGTACACTGATCATCAGGGCACTGATGATCAGTGTGGCGCCAGAAGTGCCACCTGTCAGTGCTCATCAGTGCCACATGCCAGTGCCCATCAGTGCCACATATCAGTGCATACCAGTGCACATCAATGCCACATATCAGTGCCCATCTGAGCTGCCTTTCAATGTCACCCATCAGTGCCAGTCAGTGCCACCTATCAATTCCAATCAGTGCCACCTATCAGTGCTGCCAATCAGTGCCACATCAGTGCCAGTCAGTGTGGCCTATCAGTGCGCATCAGTCCCGCCTGTCAGTGCCAGTCAGTGCTGCCTATCAGTGTCAGTCAGTGCTGCCTATCAGTACCATGTATCAGTTTCATGTATCAGTGCTGCCTTTCAGTGCCCATCAGTGATGCCTGTCAATGCCCATTAGTGCAACCTACCAGTGCCTCCTCATCAGTGCCCATCAGTGCCACCTATCAGTGTCCATCAGTGCAGCCTATCAGTGCCCATCACTGCAGCCTCATTAGCGCACATCAGTGAAGAAGAAAAATCACTTATTTACAAAATTGTATAACAAAAACTAAGAAAAAAACGTTTTTTTTTTTCAAAATTTTCAGTGGTTTTTGGTTTGTTTAAGAAAAAATAAAAATCCCAGAGGTGATTAAATACCACCAAAAGAAAGTTCTGTCTCAAAAAATGATAAAAAGTTCATATGGGTACAGTGTTGCATGACCGCGCAATTGTCATTCAAAGTGTGACAGCGCTGAAAGCTGGAAATTGGCCTGGGCAGGAAGGGGGTATAAGTGCCCTGTAGGCTAGTGCTTAACTGAATCTCTCCAAAACCGAGCTCCTTGTCTTCCCCCCCAGCCCGCGTACCCCCCACTGACTTCTCCATCACATCCAACCATGCCACCATCAAGCCCACCCTGCAAGCCAGAGTAATTGGTGTCATACTAGACTCCAACCTATCCTTCCAGCCCCAAGTCCAATCGCTAACAAACTCGTGCAGACTCCACCTCCGCAACATTGCCAAAATCCGCACGTTCCTAACCCCAGAAACCACTAAACAGCTCATCCACTCCCTCATCATATCACGACTCGACTACTGCAACTCCCTCCTCACTGGCCTGTCTCACCGCTGGCTATCCCCGCTTCAGTCGATCCTGAATACGGCGGCCAGACTCATCCACCTTACCAACCGCTCCATCTCCGCCACCCCCCTCTGCCAATCCCTCCACTGGCTTCTGATTGCTCAACAGATCAAATTCAAAATCCTAACACTGACGTACAAAGCCGTCCACCATACTGCCCCGAACTACATCACTGACCTAATATCCAAGTACCACCCAGCACGCACACTCCGCTCCTCACAAGACCTCCTTCTCTCTAGTTCCATGGTCTCCTCCTCCCATGCCCGCCTCCATGACTTCTCCAGGGCATCACCCATCCTCTGGAACTCCCAACCCCAATCCATCAGACTATCACCCACTCTCCTCTCCTTTAGGTGCACCCTAAAAACCCATCTCTTCAGGGAAGTCTACCCCACCCTCTGCTAATTGCCGCCTTCCTCCGCTCTTCCTACCACTCCATCCCCCACAGCTTTTCCTCCTGTACCACTATCCCCTCCCTCCTAGATTATAAGCTCCAAGGAGCAGGACCCTCGAACCCTCTCGTGTTTCCCACTGTATTGTTACTGTATTGTCTCATGTATTGTCTCCCATTGTAATGTACAGCGCTGAGTGAACTGTTGGCGCTATATAAATACTGTAAAATAATAATAATAGAGACAAAAAAATGCGTAAAAATGCATCAAAGCGTGCAATCAGATGGTCCATGTATTCCTATTCCTGCAATCTGTTGCATGTCTGCCTGAAAAACTGACAGACCTGGTTGGATCACCTGTCTGAAAGGACCCCCCCCCCCCCCCCCCCCGAAAAAAAAAAAAAAAAAATAAAAAGACGAAACGATCGCCTTTGACACATTAAAAATGCATCAAAAAACGCGCAATCAGACGTGTCTGACCTCACACATCTGGAATTATTAGTAGCCCAGAGGAAATATAATGGATTGTTGAATTTGTGGGGGGTTTTTTTGCTTCGAGATTCCCCTTAGAACTGGTGCAAACCACAATTTCAGCTTTACAGATGCATTTTTGCATCTGCATTTTTGGTGAATTTTTACGCGCTTTTGATGCATTTTTATTCTTTTTATTTGAAAGGACCCACCCCCCCCCAAAAAAAATAGAAACGAAAAATGTGAAAAAATACGTAAAAATGCGTAAAAGCGCGCAATTAGACGGTCCATGTATTCCTATTCCAGCAATCTGTTGCAGGTCTGCCTGAAAAACCTGGTTGGATCGCCTGTCTGAAAGGACCCCCCCATATAAAAAAAAAAAAAAAGATAAAGAGATGAAAAAATGCCCTTTGACACATCAAAAATGCATAAAAATGCAACAAATCGCACACATCTGGAACTATTAGCAACCCAGAGGGAATATAATGGATCGTTGCATTTGTGGTTTCTCGCACAGTTTTTTGTTTTCTTCCAGATTCCCCTTAGAACTGGTTCACACTACAATTTCAGTGTTACAGATGCATTTTTTCACGCTTTTGATGCATTTTTATTCTTTTATTTGGTGTGTGGGGGTCCTTTCAGACAGGTAACCTGTTGCAGGTCTTCCTGAATAACTGACAGACCTGGTTGGATTGCCTGTCTGAAAAGGACCCTTCTCCCAAAAAAATAGACATTAAAAATGCGCAAAAATGCATCAAGACGCGCAATCAGATGGTCCATGTATTCCTATTCCTGCAATCTGTTGCAGGTCTGCCTAAAAAACTGACCGACCTGGTTGGATAGCCTGTCTGAAAGGACACCTCCCCCCCCCCAAAAAAAAATAAAGAGATGAAAAAATGCCCTTTGACACATTACAAATGAGTAAAAATGCATCAAAATGCGCAATCAGATACCCCTTAGAGCTGGTTCACACCACAATATCAGCATTACAGATGCCTTTTTGCATGCGCATTTTTGATGCATTTTTATTCTTCTTTGGGGGGGGGGGGCTTTCAGACAGGCAATCTGTTGCAGGTCATCCTGAATAACTGACAGACCTGGTTGGATCGCCAGTCTGACCCCACTCCCAAAAAGAAATAAAGAGATGAAAAAATGTCCTCTGACACATTACAAATGCATCAAAATGCGCAATCAGACATGTGTGACCTCACATCTGGAACTATTTGTAGCCCAGAGGGAATATGATGGATTGTTGCATTTGTGGTTTCTCACACAGTTTTTGTTTTTTTTTTTTGCTTCCAGATTCCCCTTAGAGCTGGTTCACGCCACAATTTCAGCATTACAGATGCATTTTTGCATGCGCATTTTTGATAAATTTTTATGCGCTTTTTATGCATTTGTATTCTTTTTTTGGGGGGAGGGAATATAATGGATTGTTGCATTTGTGGTTTCTCACACAATGTTTTGTTTTGTTTTTGCTTCCAGATTCCCCTTAGAGCTGGTTCACACCACAATTTCAGCATTACAGATGCATTTTTGGATGCGCATTTTTAATGCATTTCTATTCTTCTTTGGGGGGGGGGGCTTTCAGACAGGCAATCTGTTGAAGGTCTGCCTGAAAAACTGACAAACCTGGTTGGATTGCCTGTCTGAAAGGAACTCACCCCCCCAAAAAAAAAAATTTTTACACATTACAAATGCATCAAAATGCGCAATCAGACATGTGTGGTTTCTCAGGTTTTTTTTTTTTTTTTGCTTCCAGATTCCCCTTAGAGCTGGTTCACACCACAATTTCAGTGTTACAGATGCATTTTTTGCATGCGCATTTTTTATACATTTTTATGCGCTTTTCATGCATTTTTATTCTTTTTTTTGGGGGGGGGGGGGGTCCTTTCAGACAGATTGTTGCAGGTCTGCCTAAAAAACTGACAGACCTGGTTGGATTGCCTGTCTGAAAGGACCCCCCCCCCCCCCAAGAAATACATAAATAAAGAGACAAAATGATGGCCTTTGACACATTAAAAATGTGTAAAAATGCATCAAGATGCACAATCAGACATGTGTGGCCTCACACATCTGGAACTATTAGTAGCCCAGAGGGAATATAATAGATTGTTCTGTTTGTGGTTTCTCGCAGTTTTTTTTTTTTGCCTTAGAGCTGGCTCACGGCACAATTTCAGCATTATAGATGCATTTTTACACAAAAGTTTGCGCAGCGCTGAAAAAAATTAATATATAGAAGTGCACTATTTAAATATATTATTAATATAAAAATATCTAAAACATATTAAACACAAGTGATAACATGGGAGTGAATGTAGCGCTGCAATGAGCGCAAATAAACACGTGTGGCCGTGAAGGTTATAAAACAAAGTAAGTGTTCATATAATGGTGAGGGTCTGACAAACACCGGTCAAAGAAATGTGGCACATACAGATCCTGTTGCACTGGTGGTATCATGTGACTTTCAATCCATGTAGGGAATATGATAAAAATGTGCACTCACCAGATGCGCATAGTAAAAGCGCTATGTATTGAATCATATAATGACCAAAGATCTGCAGGAAGCCCCCTTTAAATGGACCAGACAGACAGCATAGGAAGAGACTTCCTCCTCTGGATCTGAGACTGCTTTGTAACTGTTCTCCGGCTGGAATCCTGGAAATCGATTTTAGCTCAATTCAGAGCCAATAAAAGAGGTGCTCATAGTGTAGTAATTCTATCAGATTTATTTGAGTATAAAAATAGTACATCATCGATGTGGAAACAGCGAAAAAAACACACAGTTTAAAAGTAGTGAACTGTCTAAGATGGCCTCCGGAGCCTCATGTCACGGCGTACGGCTCCTCCTTGACGCGTTCCGTGCGCACGTTATCAAAAGAGGTGTGTATTTTTGCATGCCTATTTTTTTTATGCATTTTTACGCACTTATGATGCATTTTTATTCTTTTTTTTTTGGGGGGGGGGGTCTCTTCAGACAGGCAATCTGTTGCTTGCAGGTCTTCCTGAAAAAAACTGAAAGACCTGGTTGGATCGCCTGTCTGAAAAGACCCCCCCCCAAAGAAAAAAAAAATAGAGACTAAAAATGCATAAAAATGCATCAAAACGCACAATCGGATAGTCCATGTATTCCTATGTACCCATGGGTGTAAACAAACTTGTGCTTGTTTACATCCACCTGCCTCCAGGTCCGATCAGGCACACTAAAAAAAAAGGAGGACTGCTTCCTCTTCCATTTGGGTGGACCAAATTGGAGGCAGGCGGGTATAAATGGACAGAGAACTCTTCCACAGCTGGTTTGCAGCAACAGTTACATAGTTACATAGTTAGTCTGGCTGAAAAAAGACAAAAGTCCATCCAGTTCAACCGTACAGATACACTGATCTTCAACACTGATATCATAAGTCCAGGGAATACACTGTATTTGTTACCAGAGGACAGCTTCTGTTATCAGAGTCCCTTCTGGGTATAAGAAAAGATCATTCCTGCAGTCTGTAGCGGCTCCACATCTCTGAACCACT